ACATTTTCCATTTTGAAACAATCTATCATGACATGTTTGGATAAAAAATCGAATTGATTAAAATTTATTAATGTCAACTTCATTAAAACTTATTAATGTCAACTATACATAAGTATTACCAACTATATTATTTTAGTACTATCAAATTGTAGATCAATTAATAACATGGATCTCACTTTCACAACGATATAATATAATGTAGTCTATATATAAATATTATCAATTTTGGCAGGACTCGCTCCACTCAGTCACGAAAAAAATTTGCAAAACACAATTATATTTTTATGAGGCATAATTTATTCATATGAATTTATGTTAATTGATGCTAAATTCTCTAAACTTCGATCGGACCTGAAAAAAAGGAAAAAAAAATACAAGGTACAAGTCGTTATAAGTTTATTGGCCAAATAATTAACGAGGAAATAAATATATTTTTGAATAGTTTGTTGGTCAGAAAATTAAGAAAAAGTTAAAAATAATCAACATAAAAGATAAATATTGAAGTTTTTCGATAAAATATGTGACCTTAGTTTTTATTATCCAAATTTAGTATTATAGTATGTAGATGATCGTCTAGATATTAAATTTTAAATTATTTTGATAAGATAATTAGTTTTGACTTTACGAATTAAATTAGTGACTAATCTAATGCCAACTTGAAGGATTAATTAATTAAGGGCATGTGAGCTGGAGAAGACTTTTAAGAAATAATTTATCTCTATTTGGTTGAAAATCAGCTTATCACGTTATAATAAATAAAATATTGTAATGACCCGGAAGGTTATTTTTGAAAATTTTAAATATTCGTTTAGTTAGAGTTAATTAATTGATGAACAATTGTAGATAATTGACTTAATCGATAGTGAATGGGCTAAAGTGATAATTTATTTAAGACCCTATGCTATTTGACCCTTCTATATATATTAAAATAAGTAGTAGGGTTTATTAGTTTAGTACAAAATTAATTTAGAAAAGAAAAGAGAGAAGGGAGAACAGAAGCTTACCTGCAAACGGGGGCCAAATGCTTCAGGTAACTGCCACAAACCTGTGAATTTTGAATGTATTAGTAGATGTAACTTTTTTTTTTGTAATTATTATTTATTATTGAAAGGATTTGTGGAAGAGAAAGGAGAATTCGAGGGCAATAATCTAAAGTCTTAGTTCCTAAGTTTGTGTATAATCTGTTATTATAATATAATATCGTTGGAGTTAAGAGTAAAAGATGATAAGAAAAGAGAATAATGAATTGAGAAGTTGAAAATTTACAATTCGAGGGCCATTGCTGGTGATCCTTTCGATTGGGGGACAAGAGGTCGTTATGATATAATTATGGTGTAATAATAATAATACATATACACTGGAAGAATAGTGTTACAACCTATTTTCGTAGTGTGTCACTGGTTTCGCCACCAGCGAATTTCGATTTAACTTCTCATTTAATTATTACATTTGTTTACGATATATTGAGATATGTAATTAAATATTGTGTGTATTATATTATATGAAAACTATTAGGTTGATGATATTTGGAGAAATTGGAAGAGTTGACATGTTATTGGAATCAAGATTAGGAACTTGATTATACATTTGAATTGAATTGAATTGATTTAGAAGTATATGGAAATATGTGATACTAGATCGAACAAATAGTCATTGCCTTTCAATGTATGCTCGACGAAGTAACACATGCATTTGACACAAGCACGTCTAGTTTCCCATATATTTCTTAAAAATTACAAACGAAAGTAGTAAGCATTGATTGACTTGTCATTGAAAAACCATTCCCAAGCATCATTTCATATCATACCTGAATGGTCTTGTCTATCAAATTCTTCCTCTGTTGTGCATTTGAGACATGACATACTTCAATTCCTCCATCTCTCAGTTTCTTTACTGCTTCATCTACATTTTCCTGTAAAATGAAATAGACACTACCTAAAGTCAAATCTTCAATATGAAGAGACTAAACAATACACAAATACAGAAAAGTCCAAGAAAAACAGTGACACTGTTTCTATTTCTTTGACACAATTACTTGTAACTATAAAAAGTTTTGATCTGCTGAAATTCAAGTCGGTGTAATACTTTTTTGAGTTTAACCGTGAGGGCTTGGCTTAAAACGGACAATATAACACCATATTAAGAGTATCTTTGAGCTGATTTAGCCCAACAACTCTCCATTCACAGGGATCATGTGTATGTGTGTGAAATTTCTAAAAAAGTTCAAGCTCTTCAGTTCATCAAACCTATTTGTTACCATAAACAATTAGATGAAAGAGAAGACATGAACTTAACAAAATCTGCAAATACCCATTTGAAGAATCACCCAAATTTTGGCAAGAAACAAACCCTTTTAGCATATACCAAAAACGGACAATATCACACCACACCATGTTAAGAGTATCTTTGAGTTGATTTAGCTCAACAATCCACCATTCGTAGGGATCATGTGTATGTGTGTAAAATTCGAAAAAAGTACAAGTTATTCAGTTCATCAAACCCATCAGATGAAAGAAAAGACATGAACTTTTAACAAAATCTGAAATACCCATTTGAAGAATCATCGAAATTGGAGTGAAGAACAAAACCTGTTTGCGAGAGGAGATAACAACAGAAGCACCTTCAAATCCAAGTCTCTGAGCTATGCCAAATCCAAGCACATTTCCTGTTCTGCATCTAAAGTCCAAAGAATACAGTGATTAGTACAAGGAAATGAAAAGTGCTCAGTTTATCAAAAGAAGTTAATTGAATACAAATAATGAACAGAAAGCAAATAGTGCATTCAAAACATAATTACAAATACATAAACTAAAATAGGTTCAAAACACTCCAATGAAATTACAAACAATATATGACTCCAAGTAGTACTATACGAAGACTTTACTAGAGAAACAAAAAGCATCATATTAACTTCTATGTTTCCAGAAATGTGTTGTTTATTTTGTTAAGCCTCTTCACTACATCCTTCATAGTTATTCTTGATTCTGCCATTTCCTTTGTGCAGTCTAAACCCAATTCTATCATGGACGCAATGCAGATTTCACTTTTTGAAGTGATCTGTTCTTCCTCGGAAAAAAGATTGGCATCCACAACGTCCATCATACTCCCTGAAAATGATTGTGTTATCCATTTCCTCAAGTCAAGATTTTCATTGCATATCTCTTCATCTGTTGGCCTTCCCTCAAGTCAAGATTTTCATTGCATATCTCTTCATCCGTTGGCCTTCTTTTGGTCAAAACCTCCATCAACATGATGCCGTAGCTATAAACATCACCACTAGCAGACACTATTCCCTCCGAGCCATATTCTTAAAAAAAGAATGAAGAAAAGTTACTCAATTGAAATACAACAATAATTCTGCATAAATAAAGACTTGCTTTTTTTCTTACTTCTAGAATTTGGAGAGGCTTAATTATGATATAAGAGAAAATCAAAGAGAGTAGATTTTTTTATACCTGGTGCAATGTATACAAGAGTTCCCAATGTCTCGGTATAAGCCATGAACTTGCTTATGGCTAAAATTTTAGAGATTTGAAAATCACCAACATGAGCTACCATATCTTCATCCAAAAGAACGTTGGCTGGCTTTAGGTCGCAATGAACTATTGGAGTGACATGACCATGATGTAGATAGTATCAAGCATTACAGTGACCCTTTGATGAAGGTTCAAGTGGCGATCTTCTTTGTACAGCCAATTTTCTAGACTTCCATTGGGCATAAATTGCAGAACAAAGGCTCTTATATAGTCACTAGAACAAGTAGTAATCATTGGAACAAGATTTCTGTGTCTAACATTTCTCATCACTTCACATTCGGTATCAAACCTCTTGCATACTTTCTCATCTTCCAAATCGAGAACCTTAATGGCCACTGCAGTTCCACCAAACAATGTGCCTTTGTACACAGAGCCAGAGCTTCCCTCTCCAATTAAATTGGGTTCATCAAAATTATTTGTTGCTCGTTGAATCTCGTGATAAGAAACTAATTGATGAGTCCCGATCTTCGGTACCTTTTCAACATCTGTAGACTTTCCTTTCTTGTATCGTTTCATTATCCAAATTGAAACCAACAAGAATATCATAAAGGATGCAATAACCACTGGAGTAACAAATTTGAGCACAACCTCCTTATGCTTTGATTATTTTCCAGGATTAGTGATAGCACAAGCAGGAATCTCCAATATGTGCATTCCGCAAAGACCTTTGTTCCCGAGAAATGATTGCAAAGTGGAATTTGCAAACACGCCACCACTCGGTATTTCACCTTCTAAATCATTAAATGAAACATTAATGCTTTTCAGGTACGAGAGTTTTTCCAAAGACTTAGGAATAGTACCGGGCAAGGCATTTAAAGACAAATTCAAGAATTCCAAGCTTATAAAGTTGGTAAAGGATAATGGAATTTGGCCAAAAAATGAATTGTTGGATAGGTCAATATACTGCAGGTTTTGGAGTTCCCCCAATCTGGTTAGTATCACACCTGAAAAGTGGTTATTGTAAAGATATAGTTCTACAATGGCTTTTAGTCCTCCAACATCTAATGGAAGTTCTCCCTCTATTGAATTTTGCGACACACTTAGATAGAGAAGACCACTCATCTTCCAAAGGCTCAACAGAAATTTTGATGAAACTTTATTAGAACCCAAATAAAGCTTTTGTATCATGCTAAGATTTCCAAAGCATTCTGGAATTAATCCAGAGAGCTCATTACCATCCAAATATAATTCAACCAAATTAGACAAATGGCATGCCTCTAAGTTGAGTGATTTTACTAAAACAAATTAAAGTTGAATGGCTTTGTTACACAATTTCTCATAATTGAGTAACATTTTAAGATCGATATTTACTCATCACTTTTGTAACGAAGAGTATTATCAACTTAAAATCACAAAGTTGTGGGGTATATCCACAATGACCATTTTGCCCTCAGGTTTCTGTTAACTTGCATAGCAAATATTATAGAAAAAACCAACATGGGCTGTGGTGCACTGGTGATAGTGCTTCACCCTTAACCAGAGGTCTCAGGTTCGAACCCTGGGTATGGAGAATATCCTGTTGGGAGCGCCACCCCCGAATGGGCCCTGCAGAGCGCAATCCGAATTTAATCGAAGCTCTAATGTGGGCTCTAGACACCGGTGGGAAACAAAAAATCCTCATGCTGAAAGATGAGCTGAATTAAGCAAACTCTGGAGAAGAAAGATGCTAAGTGTATGTTAATATATAAAGAAACTTTTGAGTGATACTGAAAAACAGGAAGATCAAATTTAAGTTTGAGTTTTAATTATACACACTTACGGTGTAAAAACTATTGAATTATTAGGATGTAGTTTTTCCATTTACTAAATAGTTGAATATATCAACCGCAAGAAACTAATGAATAAAAAATAGGCAAACAGATAACGAAAGTAAAATAGTGCAGCTAAACACTTTCTTAATATTTCTTAATTTTATTCAAGCATCCAAAACATATTAAAGACTACTCAAATCTGAAATCACAAAATGGAATAGAAGGAAGAATTCTTGTTAAGAGGTTTGTAAATTGATACTATCGATAAGGTAAGATCTATTTATTCCTTCTGAGATTTTATTTATTTTTATTTTAATTCGCCAAAAAATAAAATAGAAGTCATTATTTTAAGTAACCATCAACCAAAATATCTCCAAACTTGTTTGGCATTGAGACGTTGTTGTTGATTGACAAACCATATATGGAAAAGTTGAGAAATGTTTTTCCCCTGTACCGAATACACCCTTAGCTTAATTCTTAAGCTATGATTTTCTTCTCCCAATTGAATTCTGAAGGAGAGAAAGAGAAGACAAATATGATAATAGAGAGATAATTTGGAGAAGGAGCTTATCTTTTCATTCAGCAAAAGCTTACACATATATAGATACATAAGGTGGTGTCAAATCCCTTAAATCTTGGAAACTGTCTCTCTATTTTTGTGCTTAAATCAAGCTCCACCACATATTACAATATCTTCTATATTCTAGAACTTTGTATTAAAATTAATTCAAAAGTTATACCAAAAATATCAAGACAAAAAGTACTAACATGACAGCACTTAGCATCACATACAAAACCAACAACCTTCATCACTCCTCCTTGATGCAAGTGCTGCTGGATACTCCAAGCTTAGCTCTAAGAAGCTCATATCTTTGTTTCTGCAGCACCTTGGTAAAAATATCAGCTAGTTGATCTTCACCACAACAATACAAAATATGAACTTCATTTTCCCTTTCAGCTTCTCGAATGGAATGATATTTGATTTTAATGTGTTTAGTCTTTCCATGAAAGACTGGATTCTTTACCATGGCAACAGCAGATTTGTTATCACAAAGGACTTCAGTTACTTTGCTTGGATGAAACCCCAAGTCAATCAAGATTTTTCTCAACCATAGAGCTTGATTAACCGCACTAGAGGCAACAACGTACTCTGCTTCAGCTGTTGATTGAGCCACGGACCCTTGCTTCTTTGTGCACCAGCAAATGACACCTGATCTGATAGTGAAACAATATCCTGAAGTGCTTTTCATGTCGTCTTGCGACCCAGCCCAGTCACTATCAGTAAACCCCAACAATTTCATAGATATGGTTCTTTTATAAAACACACCATAATCAATGGTGCCTCGAATGTACCTCAGAATTCTTTTGGCTGCTCTGAGGTGAGTTTCAGTTGGTAAGTGCATAAACCTTGATAGTACACTTGTTGCGTACATAATATCAGGCCTCGTGGCTGATAAATACAACAGGGAACCAATCAAACTTCTATAAATTGAAGCATCGACCAAACCAGACTCATCCTCATTCATTAGTTTCTCTTCTTGAATTGCAGGCGTACTTACTGGTTTGCATTTGTCAAGACAAAACTTCTTCAATATTTCAGTAGCATATTTCTTCTGAGAAACAAAGATTCCTTGAGAAGATTGATTAACCTCCATTCCCAAGAAATAAGTCATTTTTCCCAGATCATTCATTTCAAAAACCTTCTTCATTTGCTCCCTGAAGTCTGTGATAGACTGTGTGCTGCTGCCAGTCACCAATAGATCATCAACATAGAGAGAAACTACGAGAAAATCATCACTTTGAAGTCTAATATACAGGGTTGCTTCACTTCTCTTAAACCCCAAAATTCAGTAAGTAGCTATCGATCCGTGCATACCAGGCCCTAGGTGCCTGTTTCAAGCCATAAAGAGCTTTTCTTAACAAATATACCTGGTCTCCTGCTCCTCTAAAACCTTCAGGCTGCTCTACATAAATTTTCTCTTCAAGGTACCCATTAAGGAAGGAGGACTTAACATCCAATTGAAATACTTGCCAACCTTGGTGTGCTGCAACTGCAAGTAGCAATCTAATGGTATCAAACCTTGCAACTGGTGCAAAGGTTTCATGAAAATCAATTCCATACTGTTGCACATACCCCTTTACTTGTTGCGCATACCTCTTTACAACCAGCCTTGCTTTGTACTTGTTGAGTGTGCTATCTGAATTCAGCTTAATCTTGAACACCCATTTAGTTCCAAGAGCCTGCTTGTCAGGAGGTCTAGGTAAAAGTACCCATGTATTATTCTTGTTAATCATATTGAGCTCCTCCTCCATGGCTGCCCTCCATTCAGGAATTTGCAATGCATTGTCTACATTTGTTGGCTCCAATATAGCGACATTGCATCTGCTATATATATCTTCAATGGATCTGGTACCTCTTACTGCAAATCATCAGAGTCCTCTTCCTCTGGAATCAACTCTTCTTCTTGGGCACTTTGTTCTTGATTAGTGATCTGGAAAGAAGAAACAACCATCTTCTTCCAGTCCCATGCATCATCCTCATCAAATTTAACACATCTACTTACATGGATTTGTTGTGAAATAGGATTTAAAATCCTATATCCTTTAGAAGTGCTGCTGTATCCCACAAATATTCCAACTTCAGCTCTTTGATCAAGTTTATCCCTTTTAACGTCAGGAATATAAGAGTAACAGATACAATCAAATACTTTAAGATGAGCAACTGCTGGCTTGGTTCCAATCCATGCTTCGTATGGAGTCTTTCCTTTCAACAGCTCTTGTTGGCAATCTATTTTGTTAATAGACAACGGTATTTACAGCTTCAGCCCATAGCACCTTAGGCAGACCTTTCTCAAACAGAAGACACCGAGCCATATTCATAATGGACCTATTTTTCTTTCACTTACACCGTTTTGTTGTGGTGTGTAAGTGACTGTAAGTTGATGACGAATTCCTGCTTTCTGAAGAAAATCCTTGAATTGATTGGAAGTGAACTCGGTCCCATTATCAGACCTTAAGATTTTTATCAAAGAGCCATATTGGTTTTCAACAGTTGCTTTAAACCTTTGAAATGCAACAAATAATTCAGATTTATGTTTCAGAAAGTAAACCCAACAAAACCTCGTAAGGTCATCAATGAATAAAAGAAAATATTTGCTGTCGTTATAAGAAGGAGTACTCATAGGTCCACACACATCAGTGTGTATTAGTTGGAGCTTTTCAGTAGCTCTCCAAGCTTGATTAATAGGAAATGGTGATTGACTTAGCTTCCCAATTTGACAAACCCCACATACATTAGAGGTTTCATTTATGGAAGGCATATCTGCCACAAGATCCTTATTTTGCATCAATTTTAAAGATTTAAAATTGATGTGACCAAGCCTCTTATGCCAGACTTAAGTTTCATCTTGTATGCTGACATAAGCTCCAATGTTAGTATGTTTCCAATCAAGAGGGAAGCTTCTGTTGTTCATTTTGACTGAGAGTCAATTTTATTACCAGTTGGATCCATGATTTCTACATGTTTTATCTTTAAATAACAGGGCATAATTTTTATCAAGCAATTGGCCAACACTGAGAAGACTTTGGCTAATTTCGAGAACAAATAATACATCAGATTAATCTTCATACCTGAGGGAGTTTGAACAACAACTGCTCCTTTGCCCTTTGCATCTACAAGTCTGACTTTGGAGAAATAATTTTTCTCCAGCCATTAAAAAATGTTCAAGTTAGCTGTCATGTGATGCGTGCATCCACTATCAACAAGCCACACATCATGATCTTGAGCTGTTACATTGTATTCTCTAGCAATAGAAGCAGCAAGCAACTTCTCTTCAGGATCTTTAACATTTTCAGTAACTTGAGCTGGCTGGGCTTGAACTCGAGCTGGCTAGTATTGATTTATTTTGCACACCTTATCCACATGACCAAACTGTTTGCACAACTTGCATTGAACTCCGGGTCTGTACCAACAAAACTTGTCTGTATGATTGGTCTTTTTACAATAGGGACAAGGTGGATACTTGGATCTTCTATATCTCCCTCGGTTGTTATATTGCTCCTTCTTCTCCTTACCATATCTTCCGTTTTGTTGCCTTTTTTATTCACCATCCAACTGAGCTTTAGATCTTTGAACAGCCACAAGAGCGATTTCACTTGTACTCTCTTCCTCTCTAAAAGCTTTCCTTTTTTCCACTGCTAGAAGAGCGTTGGATAGTTCATCAATGTGACACAAGTCATATCCCAGGTATCTTCAATTGAGGAAATTTTTGCTTCAAACTTTTCTGGAAGTGTCACCATCACCTTCTCAACAATCCTCTGCTCTTCTACTTTTTCCCCTAACAATCTGATCTGATTGACGATTTTCATGATTCTATCAATATAATCTTTCACCTTTTTGGTCTCTTTCATTCTTAACATCTCAAATTATTTTCTTAGATTCAATATTTGCATTTGCCTCGTCTTATCGCTCCCTTGGAATTCTTGCTTCAGCATATCCCAAGCTTCTTTGGCAGATTCACATGTCATGATCCTGGTAAAAATTGAATCTGAGACAGCTGCGTGAATGAAAGACAGGGGTTTTGGACCTTTTGCAATCTCTTTTTCATGACTTCTGATCTGCTGAAGAGTTGGGTTTGCTCTCAAAGGTTCTGGAGCGCTGTCTTCCTCAACATACTTCCATAATCCAAGACCCTTCAAGTATGTTTTCATCTTCACTGCCCAAACTTGGTAGTTCTCACCATTAAAGATAGGGGGTGAAAGAGGAGAGATACTAGAGGCCATGTGAAAGGAAACTGAACAAAAAAAACTTGGACAAGTTAAACTTGGTTGCTGTGTTTCTCTCTCTCAAAACAATCCCTAAAAGATCAATTTTGCTCTGATACCGATTGAAGGAGAGAAAGAGAAGACAAATATGATAATAGAGAGATAATTTGGAGAAAAGGAGCTAATTTTTTCATTCAGCAAAAGCTTACACATATATAGATACATAAGGTGGTGTCAAATCCCTTAAATCCTGGAAACTGTCTCCCTACTTTTGTGCTTAAATCAAGCTCCACCACATATTACAATATCTTCTATATTCTAGAACTTTGTTTTAAAATTAATTCAAAAGTTATACCAAAAATATCAAACAAAAGTACTAACATGATAGCACTTAGCATCACATACAAAACCAACAACCTTCATCAAATTCCTATCTGTCCTATGTGAAATGGAAAAAATGTGCAGTTAAGTAGAATTGATCTCTTTCAGCTTAGACTCATACTCAGGTCACTAAAGTTATAACAAAAATGTTTATTGATTCTCTTGTATAAATGTGACATTGTTTATGAAAAATCTTTCTTATAAAATTAGCAAGGTTTTTGAGACATCTCTAGCGATCAAAGTGTCATTCAACCTGTAAGTATAAAAGATCATCTATATGTCTATAGCATAGTATGGAGATAACATCTAAAACACACTTTCAATGAAATTGCTAGATTATTTTTGTCACAATTAAACTCAGGATTATAGCAAAAGCCTCGCACTAATCTTTCCAAAGGAAAACTAACAATAAAATATCTTTCACTTAATTTTTGAAGGGTATTTCTCCAGTTATGTTGTTCAAAGAAATTTTGAGTAATGTGAGTTGGCAGATGTTGGAAGGGATGTGACTAGAAGTTAGATGGTAAGGAGTGGCAAACGAGCGAGTCGATCGAAAACGAGTTAAACAAAAATTGATAAAGTAATCGACTCGACTTATATTTTAAATGGATAAAAACGAGTTACCCAATGGATAAAAGCCTCGCACTAATCTTTCCAAAGGAAAACTAACAATAAAATATCTTTCACTTAATTTTTGAAGGGTATTTCTCCAGTTATGTTGTTCAAAGAAATTTTGAGTAATGTGAGTTGGCAGATGTTGGAAGGGATGTGACTAGAAGTTAGATGGTAAGGAGTGGCAAACGAGCGAGTCGATCGAAAACGAGTTAAACAAAAATTGATAAAGTAATCGACTCGACTTATATTTTAAATGGATAAAAACGAGTTACCCAATGGATAATATGGGTAAACCATGAGAGCTTTGCCCAAAATGATCAATACCACACTATGTTAAGACTATCTTCGAGGTGATTTAGCCCAACAATTTGCCATTCGTAGGGTCATGTGTACGTGTGTGTGTGAAATTCTAATAAGGGGAATTCTCAAATCACACAAAAGCACCACGTTGGTAGCTGAAAAGCCTCATATAAGGCATAGGATCTCTCAACGGTGTAACGCCTTTTGAGGAAAACCGTGAGAGCTTGACCGAAAATGGACAATATCACACCATGTTAAGAGTATCATTGAGTTGATTTAACTCAACAATCCACCATTCATAGGGATCATGTGTATGTGTGTGAAATTCTAAAAAAGTTCAAGTTATTCAGTTCATCAAACCCATTTGTTAGCTAGCATATACAATTAGATGAAAGAACAACAGAAGCACCTTCAAATCCAAGTCTGTGAACTATGCCAAATCCAATACCTTGTGTATATACAAGCTGTAACAATCACCACTATCCCTTCAAGTTTAGGCAATCACTAATCATCGATGGCTCACTGGGCTAACGTTAATACATGAAAAATGCCTAAAATCCTGTTTTTGTGATAGCGAGTCCAAGTGATGTTCCTCTGATTTTTAAAAAGCACGTTTCCTGTTCTGCATCTAAAGTCCAAAGAATACAGTAATTAGTACAAGGAAATGAAAAGTGCTCAGTTTATCAAAAGAAGTTTATTGAATACAAATAAAGAAGCTAATGAACAGAAAGCAAAATAGTGCATCCAAAACATAATTACGAATAGATAAACTAAAATAGGTTCAAAACACTCAAATGAAATTACAAACAATACATGATTCCAGTAGTACTGTATGAAGACTTTACTAAAGAAACAAAAAGCATCATATTAACTTGCAGCTCACAAAACAACACCATCCGAACATTCACTTCTATGTTTCCAGAAATGTATTGTTTATTTTGTTAAGCCTCTTCACTACATCCTTCATAGTTATTCTTGATTCTAGTGTTTCCTTTGTGCAATCTAAAGCCAATTCTATCATGGAGGCTATGCAGATTTCACTTTTACAAGTGAGTTGTTCTTCCTCGGAAAAGAGATTGGCATCCACAATGTCCATCATACTCCCTGAAAATGATTGTATCATCCATTTCCTCGGGTCAAGATTTTCATTGCATAGCTTTTCATCTGTTGGCCTTCTTTTGGTCAAAACCTCCATCAACATGATGCCATCCATAGCTATAAACATCACCACTAGCAGACACTATTCCCTCCGAGCCATATTCTTAGAAAAGGATTGAAGAAAAGTTACTCAATTGAAATACAACAATAATTCTGCATAAATGAAAACTTGTTTTTTTTACTTCTAGAATTTGGAGAGGCTTAATTATGATATAAGAGAAAATCAAAGAGAGTAGATTTTTTTATATCTGGTGCAATGTATCCAAGAGTGCCCAATGTCTCGGTATAAGCCATGAACTTGCTTATGGCTAAAATTTTAGAGATTCCAAAATCACCAACATGAGCCACCATATCTTCATCCAAAAGAATGTTGGCTAGCTTTAGGTCGCAATGAACTATTGGAGTGACATGACCATGATGTAGATATTCAACTGCCATAGCTGCATCAAGCATTACAGTGACCCTTTGATGAAGGTTCAAGTGGCGATCTTCTTTGTACAGCCAATTTTCTAGACTTCCATTGGGCATAAATTGCAGAACAAAGGCTCTTATAAAGTCACTAGAACATGTAGTAATCACTGGAACATGATTTCTGTGTCTAACATTTCTCATCACTTCACATTCAGTATCAAACCTCTTGCATACTTGCTCATTTTCCAAATATAGAACCTTAATGGCCACTGCAGTTCCACCAAACAATGTGCCTTTGTACACAGAGCCAGAGCTTCCCTCTCCAATTAAATTGGATTCATCAAAATTATTTGTTGCTCGTTGAATCTCGTGATAAGAAACTAATTGATGAGTCCCGATCTCTGGTACCTTTTCAACATCTTTAGACTTTCCTTTCTTCTGTCGTTTCATTATCCAAATTGAAACCAACAAGAATATAAGAAAGGATGCAATAACCACTGGAGTAACAAATTTGAGCACAACCTCCTTATACTTTGATTGTTTTCCAGGATTAGTGATAGCACAAGAAGGAATCTCCAATATGTGCATTCCGCAAAGACCTTTGTTCCCTAGAAATGATTGCAAAGTGGAATTTGCAAACACGCCACCACTCGGTATTTTACCTTCTAAATTATTAAATGAAACATTAATGCTTTTAAGAGTGTTTTTCCAAAGACATAGGAATACTACCTGACAATGCATTTAAAGACAAATTCAAGAATTCCAAGCTTATCAAGTTGGCAAAGGATAATGGAATTTGGCCAAAAAATGAATTGTTGGATAGGTCAAGATACTGCAGGTTTTGGAGTTCCCCGAATCTGGTTGGTATCACACCTGAAAAGTGGTTATTGTAAAGATATAGTTCTACAATGGCTTTTAGTCCTCCAATATCTGATGGAAGTTCTCCCTCTGTTGAATTCTGTGACACGTCTAGATAGATAAGACGACTCATCTTCCCAAGGCTCAGCGGAAATTTTGATGAAAATTTATTAGAATCCAAATAAAGATGTAGTAGAATGCTTAGATTTCCTAAGCATTCTAGAATTGATCCAAAGAGGTCATTATCATTCAGATATAATTGAACCAAATTAGATAAATGGCATACGGCCTCTGTAATAAGTCCCTGCAATTTATTGTTATCTAGATACAACCCTTGGAGTTGTTTAAGCTTACCAATCTCAGAAGAAATACTCCCTGTCAAGTTGTTTCTGTCAAGGCTTAGGGATGTAAGACCGATCATGTTGACCGATCATGTTGCCTATACTTTTGGGGATGAGGCCATTGATGTGTGCATCTTCTATATTAAAGTTTTCAATAGTAGATGAAAGATTCACAATAGAATTGGGCAGAACGCCATTTAACGGATTGGAACCCACTTGTAGATATTGCAACATCCTATAGTCCGCCAAAGAATTGAAGAATAACAATTCACGCTCTCTAGATTCATTGGTAAGTTGATTATTATGTAGGAGCAGCATTTGCAGCTCACGAAGATTTCCCAAATTACTAGGAATAGTTCCTGTCAGAGAGTTATCTAGATTCTGTTAAGCTCTAGCTAGGTCTTACTAGTTTTTTTTATGGGTTGTTACACCATGAGACGGTGTTTTCCCGAATTGCAGCAGCTACCACTTCGAGGCAAGCATGGAGAATTTTGCAAACAGAATTTCAAGGCTCATCAAAGGTAATAGTTGTAAATCTTCAAACTCTTCGACATGAGTTTGAAATTTTAATGATGAAAGGAAATGAATCCATGCAAGATTTTTTGTCTAGAGCAATGGCTATTATTAGTCAAATGAGGTCATACGGAGACCAAATAACTTGTCAAATTGTTGTTAATTTTTTTTTAATGAGTTTAACTACTAAATTTGATCATGTTGTGGCTGCAATTGAGGAGTCCAAAGATTTATCAAAATTTTCATTCGATGAATTGATGGGTTCTTTACAAGCCCATGAGGCAAGGATAAACATGTCAGCAAAAAAGTAGGAAGAAAAGTATTTCAATCTAAGGTGGAGGTACCAAATTCAAGAGAACATGAAAAGGCACCAACAGGAAGAGGAAGGGGCAGAGGTGCATTTCATGGAAATAGTTGAGGTCGAGGCCGAGGCAAAGGCTTTGAACAAAGACACTTCAATGAGCAAAGATGCAATAGAAGTAGCAAACAATGTCATAACTGCAAGAAGTTCGGGCATGTGCAAGCAGATTGCTGGTACAAGGAGAAAAAAATGATTTATACAGAGAGAGCTAATGAAGAAAGTAAGTTGTTCATGGCTTGTCGTGATACTAATGAAGTTGCAGGTGATATGTGGTTTGTAGATAGCGGTTGCTCCAACCATATGTCAAGTATGATGTCAATCTTCAAATAACTTGATGAGACACTAAAATCGACTGTCATGCTTGGTGATAACAAAGGTCTTCAAGCTGAAGGAAAAGGAACAGTAGCAATAAGAAACAACCATGGTAAAGTAAAGCTTTCTTCATGATGTTCAATTTGTTCCTAGTTTGGCCCATAATTTATTAAGTGTGTCACGCCCCGATCCTACACCCAGGATGTGGCCGGCACTCGAAGACCATTGCTGGCCCCAAGCGAACCCTTGGCCTGGCTTTCTTAACTCAGCGGAAACCTAACTCAACAGAATAACTCCATGCAATGCAAGGACATAAAACAACTTAACTGATGAAATCTAGCCCAAAAAGGCAACTCGAGTCTCAAAAAAGAATATTTACATATATACACATATGAGAGACTTAATACTAACTGACTGACTGTCTATGAAGCCTCTATAACACTGAGATGGATGTTGGGACAAACCCCGCAACATCCTAATAACACAAAACTAAGAGAACAAAATAACTGAGTCCTCCGAAATGCAAAGAGGCTTACCACTGACTCTGGAGTGCTCAGCTGGATCAACGGCGTGCTGGATGCTAATCCTGGGTACCTGTGTCTGCATCATCATAAGATGCAGGCCAACTGGCATCAGTACATTGAATGTACGAGTATGCGAGCTGGAAACTAAGCAACATAGGCTAGAAGGAAATCTGGAAGAAACTGAATAGTTTACCTGGCTCAACTCAACTGAACCTGACTGACTCTTTTCAATATAAGGCAATTTAAAACAAGTGTGATATAAAGAAAGGTTGTTTAAAACCTGCTATAAACTCTGTGTGTATACAAAGATACAATAAACCTGAGATGTATGTAGAAATACAAATGAACTGATGTATATAAAAATACAATAATTGCTATGGGAGTTTCTCTAACCGACAACCATCACATAAGAGCTATAGTGATGATACAACGATCGACCTCACGCTACCAGAGCATCCTATACCCGGCCAAAGGTATAGGACCTGAACTGCCTAATGGATCCACTAGTCTAATTTGAAAAGGATTCATCTAAAAAGTATGAACCTCTTCTACCCATGATGGCTACATGGTTCTGTGGGGGCTGTGAGTTCTTTGAACGCTCCCCCAACTCGGTGCTCAATACTACTCCCAAAATATGTACTGGCTCTTATGTTTTTAAAACATTTTCTTCCTGCTGATTTGAGATAATTACTCAAAACTTAGCTCAAAGGCTATCTTGGAAATCTCAGTTTCCTCTCTTGCTTCATTTAGAAAGCGATAACTCTTTTTCTGGAAAACTTAGCCCGAAGGCTCTTTGGGAAATTCTCAGTTTCCAATCTTGTTTAAATGTGAAAACATTTCTTTAAAACTTCTTTGGGAATGCATAGTTCCCTAATAACTTTTGAGAAAAGAACTCAACCTTATACTCTTGACTTAACTTGAGACTCGATACTCTTTACTTGACTTGAAACTTGAGCCTTAAAAT